TTTAAATTTTGGTATAATCGCTGGATCTATTTCAAAATCGCAATGTTCCGCACCATTTAAAATAGTAGATATTTTGTACAATGTCTGGAATCCTTCATTCTTTGAGAGAGTTTGAATCACTTTTTCTTTTACTATTTGACCAATAGAAATTTTGATAGCTTCAAAATTTTTTATAATATTTATGGATTCTACTAAGGGTAGCTGCTGTTTTTCTAAAAATTGAATACACTGACTTACAAATTTAAAATGACTTTTAATAAAAGCCAATTGTTGTGCAAGTTCGGGTATTTTTAGAACTCTCTGACATTCTTCAATAGATTTGCTTTCTGTACTTTGAAGTTCAAGTATTATACCTTGAAATTCTTTAAAATGATCGGCATAGTACATGGCAGCATCTAACCGAGTTCCCCATCTTGTTAAAACTGGTGCTGGGGGTAGAGGAATGTCAGGCAATGTCTCTTTAAACAATTGCACTCTCAATGGAGCTTTCATAAATATTTGTTTACCATTTTTTATTAGTGTATTTACCATCGGATACTGCAATCTTATAGTTTCAGCTATGCGGTTGAGTCCATGAGCTAAACAGGTGCAATGTATTAAATTGTAATAGAAAATTTTTATATTTGACGCAGCTTTTATCATGTAAGCTGCAGCGTCGGAAAGCATTAATAACATTTTTTCATTTGGAACTGCCTCGGGCAAAAAAATCTTGTTTAACTCGTCGTGAACAAATCTAGAAATCGTATTACTATTCGTTTTTGTTAATTCTTTTGAACTTATTAAAAAACTCTCTGTTACAACATCTTCATTCAAAACTCCTATAATAAGGTTGGCTACATATCTCCCACACGTATCAGTAGTTTCATCTACTGCGAACCATATATAGTTATTTGCAATATATTTTTTAATTTGTTGCATAGTTTCATCATAAACTGGGGCGACATAGTTCTTACGGAGAGTGCTTTCATCTGGGATATTTTTTTTGCAATATTTCTCTAGAAATTCTCTAAAAGACCTACTTTGTAATTTATTCAAGGGAATATCTGATTTAATCATAGCACTACACAAATCAAAATTAAAGTGTTTTTGTTCATTGAAACCAGAAGTTGAAGCTATTGAAGTCGAAATAGTTTGTTGCTTATTTTTATTTTCCTCGATTTTTTTAATGTGCTCCTTATGCCGGTCAGTTTTCAAATGTTGAGTAATATCATATTTTTTGTTACAGACGATCTGCAATAAAGTAAGCGAGTAGTTTATTAAAACTAAAGTCCATACGACGTAAGGTTATGTTCTTGATTAAAACATATTTTGTTAAGGATTTTATTCACATTTTAAAGACATTAAGAACGTCCCGTAAGAGCCATCAAAATAAAATGACGTTTTAAACAGTTAAGAAAAGACGAAGTAATGTTGAATTCGCAAATTTGTACTTACAGTTTTAGAACATGCTTGACAAAAAATCTTTTTNGAACAATTGTACGGAAACAATCCTCCAAAGTTAACAAAACCGGAAATTACCTTAAGAGATTATCAAGGTCGGGTTGTGGTAATATTGGGACAGTGCGAAATACCTGTGCGCTTAAAAGACATAAAAACGAAATTGCCGGTTATCGTGGTCGCGTCTAATCGAGCTAATCTTCTGGGAAGAAATTGGTTCGCGCCTCTTGGGTTGAACATTAGCGGAATTAACCATATTTCGGGGTCGTGCGTCGGAAGTGCGTTTCTGGAAGAATTTCCTGAAGTCTTCGACGAGAAAATAGGCACTTATCGTGGACCTCCTGTATCATTTGTTTTGAATCCGAGCGTACAGCCAACGGTGTTAAAACCTAGAAAAGTTCCGTTCGCGTTGCGCGATAAGGTCGACCAAGAACTTGATCGTCTAGTGCAGCAGGGAGTTTTGGAACCGGTGGCGCATCCGAAGTGGGGAACACCAATAGTTATTGTATCAAAAAACGACCATGAAATCCGAATTTGTGGTGATTATAGGAGTACAATAAATCGTGCGTTAACAACAAACAATTATCCAGTACCGGTTGTACAAGACATTCTTTCCGAGTTATCCGGCGGGAAAGTGTTCGCTAAATTGGACATGGCACACGCTTATTTACAATTAAGTGTGGATAACGACGCCGCGGATGCACAGACAATTGTAACTTATAAAGGAGCGTTTAGGTGCAAGAAATTACAATTCGGGTTATCAATAGCTCCACAAGTGTTCCAACAATTTATTGACAATAGATTGCGCGGAATTTCGGGCGTGATTCCATATTTTGACGATATCTTAATAGTCGGAAAGTCTGATACAGATCTCGAAGCAAAGGTGCGTGCGGTTCTTCTGCGATTTAAAGAAGACGGACTTCGATTAAAAAAGAGAAAGTGTGTTTTCCGTACGGAATGTTTAAATTTCCTGGGGTTTCACATAAGTGCGGCCGGGGTTCGTCCCACTAAAGACAAAATAAACGCTATCGTGAATACGCCGGCTCCTGCGAACAAAACAGAATTACAAGCATTCCTAGGTCTTGTAACCTTCTATCACAGTTTTATCAAAGACAAAGCTGCAATAGCCGAAGCCCTACACAAATTACTCCATAAAGACGTTGATTTTAAGTGGGGTGCCGAGCAAAACGATGCTTTTAAAAAATTGAAAGACATCCTCGCGAGTGAACCACTTCTAGTTCACTATAATGAAAACAATTCATTAATTTTGACATGTGACGCAAGTGCGTACGGGGTGGGGTGCGTGTTGAGTCAATTGCAATCATCGGGTCGCGAAGCACCTGTTGCGTACCACAGCAGAACCCTATCATCGGCTGAACGCAATTACGCGCAAATTGACAAGGAGGCGCTAGCAATAGTGGTAGGTGTCAAAAAATTCCACAATTACCTTTATGGTCGACAGTTCTGTATAAAAACCGATCATAAGCCTTTACTGGGTATTCTTCGGGCGGATAAGGCTATTCCTGAAGTGTTGTCACCACGTTTTGTCAGATGGGTGATAATGTTATCGGCTTATTCGTATGATCTGTCCTATACACCAGGGAAAAAGATTGGCCATGCGGACGCGCTTAGCCGATTTCCAATAAAAGATACGTCCGGAGAAACAGAAAATATCGCTGATGTATTAGCACTAGAATGTGCTCCAGAGCAGATCCTGACTGCCGACGAGGTGGCAAAGGAAACAACCAAAGATGTAATTTTGAACAGAATCCTCCAATGGGCAAGAAATGGATGGCCAAAAAATAACAAAGACTTCGGTAATGAATTTCAGCCATTTTTAAAAAGAAAACATGAAATTTCTTGTTATCTCGACTGTCTTTTGTGGGGAACCAGAATAATTGTTCCAACTGGAGGGAGGAAAAGGGTCCTAAGAACCTTACATACAGCTCATCCCGGAATAGTACGAATGAAGGCTTTGGCGAGGTCGTACGTTTGGTGGCCAGGGCTGGATGACGACATCGAAAGATTAGTCAACACATCCGAAGAGTTCCAACAAACAAGAAACGCTCCGCCGAAAGCACCTTTACATCCATGGGAGTGGGCTAGAGCTCCATGGTCAAGACTGCATCTAGATTTCGCCGGACCTGTAAAGGGGAAATATTTCCTCATCATAGTGGACGCTTACTCTAAGTGGTTGGAAGTGAGACAGGTGGGAGGACCTTCCTCTGCGGAAACAATAAGGGTTCTACGCGAACTATTTGCAACACATGGTATCCCGGATGTTTGCGTCTCTGACAATGGTACAGCTTTCACATAGTTTTTAAAGAATTTTTAAAATCAAACTCCATAAGACAAGCTTTGGTGGCTCCGTATCATCCGAGCAGTAATGGGCAAGCCGAAAGGATGGTGCAAGATTTTAAAATGGCCTTGAAAAAGATGCCGGAAGATAGCCTAGACAAAGTGTTGGCAAGATACCTCTTGACACAACACATAACTCCGCATACAACGACAGGAAGAGCTCCATCGGAGTTATTGATGGGAAGAAGACTCACTTGTCTACTGGATAGAGTACATCCGAATTTTAGCAAAAAAATGAAGGAAAATCAAGAAGATCAGTGTTCAACAGCAGCCCCAAGACGCTTCAATAGCGATGATCCAAAGCCTACTAGAAATACAGGCCGTCGTGTCGTAGGGGGGATTCGAAGGACTGGCTACGCAAACAAAGACGGCATAATAGCATCGTAGCCGTTCTAGTCGCCTTACGATGACCTCATACATCTAAAAATGGGTATTATATGTTAATTTGAGTTAAATTTTTTAACTTTTCTAATATTTTCAGAAGATTTTATATTATTTATAATTTTACTGTAGTTATTTAAAAATATATTGGATAAAATTGATGAAACTTTATGTTCGATTATTCTGAGTAAATTATTGCAATTACAATTAAAATGGCTTAAATTAATATTTTCTTCCAAATAATCCAAAAATATTTTTTTCAACAGTTTTTTTTGATTTAAGCAGGTTTTAAAATAAGGTTCATAATCTTGAGATATAATTATAAACAACATATAAAACGTAATGCAAACATAACTAAATTCAACTGTAGGATATTTCAGTTTTCCTCGCGAAAGTTTGTCAATATATATGTACATATTTACGTTATCCGATTGAATCAATTCTCTTTCTGTACTTATTAAAGCTTCGCAATGAGAACAGTTTAGAGTAGATTTTAATTTAAAGACTATGTAGCCTGAGACATAGGTCATTATATGAATTTCTTCAGGTGATATTGTTGATTTTAAGCATTTTGAAGTAATTTCCTTCATTTTTGATAAAATGGCATCCATACTGATTTCTTCATTAAATGTTTCTAAAGACAAACTGTTACATAACGAATCTGTTTCTTCATCGTTAGCTGTAATGTTAAATATTCCTCTGGCAGTTTTCAGTTTTAATAAGCCGAGTTTCCGTATTTTCGATTGTGAATGTAAAACGTCTCTAACTGTAATATAATAATTAGAACCCGACATTCTTCTATACTTTCCAAATAGATTCTCCAAGTTATCGGTTTGGAACTTTCCTAGTAAAACATATTCCATTTTGAGGGTATTTAATAAATAATCACACATACTTAAAATAGCACGAATATTGCATGTTATTGCTTCATATGTGTCTGTGGTAAGTTTTTCTTTACCTGGAAATTTATTCCATTCTTCTAAAAATAATAAAAAATCGTTTAAAAATTTAATTTGATGTCCATTAAGGGATGAAATGGGCTCCAAATATTTATCATTTTTATGAATACCATGATAAGGCGTAGAACAGTTTACAATTTTCCATCATTTATTGAAAGCTTCGATAATATATTTGGTGCCATTCACGTCAAGATTTTCATTGAAATAATGATCTAATGCAATGATATTTCGCTCGTCAATGATTGCTAGAGCTAATTTGACATTCTGTCTCTCCAACAAAGACGGGAACATCGACTTATGATTCAAGTTAGGTGAATATTTCAACAAATTATCTTTTTCAATATTATAAATTTTTCGTAGATGATCAAAAGATGCAGTACATACTGTTTTGTCTATTGGAGATATGAATTTAAATGTCATTTTATTTATCCAATTATTTCTAAAGTTCTTTACATTATGCACATTATCAGTTAATATAAATATTTTGGTGTCCGGAAGATATTTATTAAATATGTAAGGCGTTATTGCACCTCCGCATAATGTTTTTAACATTTTTCTATTGACTCGATTATTATCACTTATTATTGATACGATTTGAAAATCAACTGCACTCACTACTTGAATTACATCCATTGTCATCTTATGTAAAAATTCTGCGTTTAACTTGTTAATTGGAAATATTGCAACTACTTCTTTATAATTTGATAATATTGAAGAAATCATGAAAACCTGAAGGGTTTTTGCTACAGAACTGGGAGCATTACTGCTAAAACCAATAAGGGATCCAGATCCAGCCTCATAGTGCACTGTCGATTTGACATACACTTCATCTAATAGTAAGTTAACATATTTATCTTTACTTGATAACAGCACACGTTTAGATTTTAAATATTTTATAGTATTAACATTAATACCTAGAGAGGAATTATTTTCTGTTGTACATATAGATTTTAAATATTGGGGGCATGGCAATGTTAAAATGTTTTGATCTCGCAAATAATTGTATGCACAAGGAAATTGAAGAAACATGGAATAAGAATCTAGAATAGTTTGAGGGGTGTAAGTAGGATATATCTCATTTAAATTTTCGACTTGATTTAACAAAAAGTCAATGCTGCTTTTCTTTGTAGATAACTTTTCTTGCAATTCTAATAAATTTTTTACAATAATAGACACATTCTCAGCAGGATACAGTATTTCATCCTTATACGAGGTCATGGTTTCAAGTAGTAATTCAAATTGTTGTATACTCTCAATATTATGAAAATGTATGGCTGTAGGATGAATTTTTCTACCTTTGGAAAAAAACTCAAACTTAAGTGTACTATGTATTTTTAAACTGCACAAGACATTTGGAACTGATTCAAATGCTAATATATATAAACAAATATAGTTTTCAAAAATAGCAAATTTATACTTGTCACATTTTTGGATTTCAGTTATAATGGTTTCATATAAAGTAGATGTATAATCTCCAAGTAATACCGGCATATTAATAGTGGGAATTGCATCTTTCGTTAAAAGGCGGCGGCTGTGCATTTTATTAAAGTTATAACATTTTTCTTCAAAATGTTTTAAACAAATATGAGAGGCCTTGGTTGATTTAAAATTATTTCCAAGCGCTTTTTCCCATACACGTTTCAAATCTTCATTTGTAGGAAAACGAAACGTCGTAACATATTCAAATTTTTTACTTGTATTACTTTTACAACCAGGAACGCAACACGAAAAAGGCATTTTTCAAAATATTTAAATAAAAACAAGAATATAATCTAATCTACAAAAAGCAATGAAAATGTCAACAAATAAAAAAAAACTATCAAAATGTTAACGTAGAAGAAACCAAAAAGGAAAAGAAAACAACGAATATGTTGTTTTGTAAACAAAATAAACGAATATGTATTAAACAACGAATATATAAAGAAAAACGAAAAAGAAAACCCTATCAAACTTTCGAACAATATGAAAACACAGGAAATTCTCAAAGGATAATAAACGCTGCGATCCAACCAATTCAACGGTTCAAACGCAACTGAGCGTTCCTTCCAAAACGAGTGTAATCCTTCGAGATTCAATCGTCCCCTCCACTACACGACGGCCTGTATTTCTAGTAGGCTTTGGATGATCCCATTTTTATAAGATCATACACAGCACAACAGAAGTGGGAACCTGCCACCGTAACTGAAGCGACGGGACCACTGAGTTATAAAGTACTTACTCCGGAAGGTAAGCTCTTAAAGAGACACTCTGATCAAATAAGAGATAGAGAACTGTCAGAAGAGATGAAACCTGAGGCAGATGGAAGTTTACACAGTCCGGCTGATTCCGAGGATGCAGATGTGCCACAACGGAGTACAGAAGACGAGGTAGCTGAGACACCCGCGCCAAGACCTTCCAGGATAAGGAAGCTTCCTCTCAGATTGAAAGACTTTGATTTAGGGATGGTGCGCGAATCTTCCTTGGAGGGAGGAGTGTAATGTATTGCGTGAACTGGGTGCGCGTGCGTGAAAGCGCGAGAAGAAAAAGACTTCCAAACGTTAGTTTGAGTTTTAGTAAACAGCAGTCAGTTAGTTTTTGCTTGTCCTAGTGAATGTATCGACTCGAATGTATTGGTTAGAAAATATAACGACACCAGGTCAACCCTTTGTTTTATTTCTCTCTACTCAAACATAACAGTTCTTACGGAGAGTGCTTTCATCTGGGATATATTTTTTGAAATATTTCTCTAGAAATTCTCTAAAAGACCTACTTTGTAATTTATTCAAGGGAATATCTGATTTAATCATAGCACTACACAAATCAAAATTAAAGTGTTTTTGTTCATTGAAACCAGAAGTTGAAGCTATTGTAGTCGAAATAGTGTGTTGCTTATTTTTATTTTCCTCGATTTTTTTAATGTGCTCCTTATGCCGGTCAGTTTTCAAATGTTGAGTCATATCATATTTTTTGTTACAGACGATCTGCAATAAAGTAAGCGAGTAGTTTATTAAAACTAAAGTCCATACGACGTAAGATTATGTTCTTGATTAAAACATATTTTGTTAAGGATTTTATTCACATTTTAAAGACATTAAGAACGTCCCGTAAGAGCCATCAAAATAAAATGAGGTTTTAAACAGTTAAGAAAAGACGAAGTAATGTTGAATTCGCAAATTTGTACTTACAGTTTTAGAACATGCTTGACAAAAAATCTTTTTATTGTCAATTTTCAATTCTTTGTGGCCTCTAATCCACTCTTCTACGGTTGATTTATATTTTGGCATTTTACAAATAAGTACCACGCACAGCTTCACAGAACAGAACACCGCGAAGCTAACTACACACGTGTTAGAATACGAGACAATATAACGTAAACAGAGATATCGGAAACTTCGGGGAATCACGCGACTCTTTACACAGTTGCCAATTTTACTCTATGTACACGTTTTTACGCGTATATTGTTTTATATTATATTGTATTATTCTTAAAAATGATATAAACATGCATAAAAAGTTAAAAATAAGCACGAAATAAAAAAAAGCATAAAATCTCAAAAAAAGCAAAAAAAAGCATTAAAGAATATGTCGCAACATACTTAATTTTGCGTAATTCGTCATTTATGAATTAATTTAACGTTGT